ATCGCTTTATATAACACAAATCTACAAGTAATTTTTCTGGGTTTTTCCTCGCTGTTATTGTCCTTCAAATGGCAAACGCAATGGCGCAGAGGTTTGCTTGTTAGATTTTAGCGAAATTTCCGGGCTTGAGCACTTGCCGGGTGACGGTGTTGGGTTCTTGGACACAGCTCCTTCCTCTCTTAGTGCTGAGATCTGTCTAAGAGAGTAAATTGGTGCTGAAAAAACTAGTAGTAATAGTAATATAGTTCATTTCTGACCTCTTGCAGCCATGAGGCTTAATTGTGGGTACAGTAGGGTTGAGAACCGACGTCAGCATCTCAGGCGCCTCTGGCCGCCGCTTCAGTTCACAGATCTCACCTTCCCACCCATCCCACCCCCAGGGGAGGACATCTCACACAGTAATTTTGTGTGTGGAAAATTAACCTCTCCTACCCCAACCCTGCAGGAGACCGGACCTCCATTTATTCGTCCCTATCCGAGAAGACTAGAATATCTAACCATTTCTTGATGTTATAGAAGGGTAGGAAATTCTTCTCAATTATTTTAAGACCTTGAGTGTTGGTCCGGCTGGGGCTCGAACCCTCGACCTCCTGCACAAAAATCCAGCGTACTATACATTGGGCTAACTGGGGGGCGGTAGTAAGGAAACTTGAAGAATTAGCGTTTTTATTTCTTTTGCTTATCTGCAATGGACTAGGGAGTGGAGACACTTGTATTCATTTTATGCTTAGGACATGAAACCGCGATGGGTTCCAACCATATTCTCCGTCAAAGTGCATCATAGCAAAGTTTTACGCGCCTTTTTCCATGTTTGGTCTTTCCACTAGGTCATTTCTAAACACTTCTTTATTTCTGTTTGTTTGCTTCAATAGCTACTCAGCCCAGTGGTGCAGTGAGCACTTCATTCACATTAAAGCCATGCGTAGGGTGGGTTGATGCTCTTGCTGCTTTTTATCTTTTGAAACACGTGAAGGCTACATACACCTACGCGTCATGGTTTAATTCATATTGATAAAAAAGATCGCCATAGCGCCTTAGTGTTAAAGCTGGCGCTTACCGATCAGATGATCCCTGTAAAAGAACGGATTTGTATAACGCTTTGTCCGGATTTTAGGTTCGTGATGTACGCGGCCAATTGAAGGATATCATGAACCAACAGAAAATGGCGCTGAAGTCGTGCGGCAACGGTTGGGATATCATTAGAAAATGTATCTGCTCTTCTTACTTTCACCAAGCCGTCAGATTAAAGGTAAAATGTTACATTAAGGAAGTAGTACTAAAGTAGATTCAAATCAGCTTAATTTTGACCTTTCAATGTTAATCTGTTATTATGCGTTAGAATTCAGTGCATATTTTTGCGACTACTATCAGTAGTAAGTTGCTTTAGGATAAGGGTCTCAAGAAACAAGATGAGTTTTATGAAATGAGCCTCGTCACAATTCGTATGACGCAGTGATTTTGAGCTAAAATATCGATCATTTAGGTAATGATATCTGCTTTTCGCGTCAATAAAAACCAACAATGACGATGGAAATAAACGCCCAAAGCAGTACAAGCTGCGTTGGATGTTTAGCTGCGAACCAGAGGTCGTTTTGATATTAATGGTTTGCATTTTGGTCGCAGGGTATCGGAGAATACGTCAACATGAGAACAGGAATGCCGTGTCATCTTCATCCCACCAGTGCTTTGTTTGATATGGGATACACACCCGACTACATTGTTTACCATGAGCTTGTTATGACCTCTAAGGTAAGACCACAGATATGTAGTCACATGATACCTATGATTTGGGAGAAATTATAACTCTGGCGTTCTTCTGACCGGAGTTCTCTTGGCTTGGCTTTCCTGTTCTCAACCTTATTGCTGAGTGTCAGGGACCATTGATGTGGACACCAGCTCTCATCTTGTTCTGTTAGTCATGTATTCTGCATTTGGCCATCACCAATTAGGGAGACCTTTCCTACCTTCTTAGGTTTGCGTCAGGAGTGCAGAATGGTGCAACTAATTAATCAGGCATGCAGACATGTTTCTTCTACCTTATTTTGATTTGTCTCTCAACTCTTTAACACAGGAGTACATGCAATGTTTCACAGCTGTTGAAGGCTACTGGCTGGCAGAACTGGGACCCATGTTTTACACAGTGAAAGAATCCACAAAGACGAGGCTGGTTAGTTCGCTTAGTGTACTTTAAACAGGCTTTCAGCATCTTCAGGGCTGGTGGGG